TGAAGCATTAACTTCAACGTGTCAAGAGGTTCTCGGTCTAAAGAAATACCATCATAAGGAATGGATCTCTACAGAAACACTGGACAAGATCAAAGAAAGGAAGAACAAGAAGGCAGTAATAAACAACAGCCGAACACGAGCAGAGAAAGTCCAAGCACAAGCTGAATACATAGAAGCAAACAAACAAGTGAAGAGGAGCATTAGAGCCGACAAGAAGAAATACGTTGTAGAACTAGCAACGACGGCAGAAAAAGCTACTAGAGAAGGAAATATGAAACAGCTTCACGATACAGGGAAATACAGTAAACCAGAGAGGCCGGTCAAAGACAAAGAAGGCAGGAAAATCACCGAAATTCAACAACAGCGTAACAGATGGGTAGAATACTTCGAGGAACTCCTGAATAGGCCGGCTCCAATGAATCCACTGGACATCGAAGCGGCACACATAGATCTTTCTATAGATGTCAACCCACCAACGACGGAAGAAATTAGAATGGCCGTCAGACAAATCAAGAACGGGAAAGCAGCAGGACCCGACAACATACCAGCTGAAGCACTGAAACCAGACATCGAAGCAACCACAAGCATGCTTTATCTTATATTCAAAAAGATTTGGGAGGAACAAGTGCCGATGGACTGGAAAGAAGGACACCTCGTCAAGATTCCAAAGAAAGGAGATCTGAGCAAATGTGAAAACTATAGGGGCATTACACTACTGTCAATACCAGGGAAAGTCTTCAACAGAGTGTTGCTGAACCGGATGAAGGATGCAGTAGACGCTCAACTTCGAGATCAACAAGCTGGATTCCGTAAGGATCGATCGTGCACAGACCAAATGGCAACACTACGGATCATCGTCGAACAATCAGTTGAATGGAACTCATCACTATACATCAACTTCATTGATTATGAAAAGGCATTCGACAGTGTAGATAGGAGGACATTATGGAAACTTCTTCGACACTACGGAGTCCCTGAGAAGATTGTCAATATTATCCGGAACTCATACGACGGACTACAGTGCAAAGTAGTGCATGGAGGACAGCTGACAGATGCATTCCAAGTAAGGACCGGAGTCAGACAAGGCTGTTTACTCTCTCGCTTCCTCTTTCTTCTGGTGGTCGACTGGATTATGAAGACCTCAACATCTGAAGGAAAACACGGAATACAATGGACAGCTCAGAACCAATTAGACGATTTGGACTTCGCAGATGACCTAGCCCTCCTATCACGTACACACGAACAGATGCAGATGAAGACAGCCAGTGTAGCAGCAGTCTCTGCATCAGTAGGCCTCAGCATACACAAAGGGAAAACTAAGGTCCTCAAATTCAAAGCGGAGAACAGCAATCCAATCACACTTGATGGCAAAACTCTGGAAGATGTAGAGTCCGTCACATACCTGGGAAGCATCATCGATGAACAAGGAGGCTCAGATGCAGACGTAAAGGCGAGGATCGGCAAAGCAAGGGTCGCATTCCTACAATTGAAGAACATATGGAACTCAAAACAACTTTCAACCAATATCAAAGTGAGAATCTTCAATACGAACGTCAAGGCAGTTCCACTGTATGGAGCTGAAACTTGAAGAACTACAACAACCACAATCAAGAAAGTACAAGTATTTATAAATAGCTGTCTACGCAAGATACTCAACATCCATTGGCCAGATACCATCAGCAATAGCCTTCTGTGGGAGAGAACAAACCAACTTCCAGCTGAAGAAGAAATTAGGAAAAGACGATGGAAATGGATAGGACATACATTACGCAAATCGTCAAACTGCATCACGAGGCAAGCCCTAACTTGGAATCGTGAAGGGAAGCGAAAAAGAGGAAGGCCAAAGAACACATTGCGTCGGAAGATAGAAGCAGATATGAAATGGATGAATTACAACTGGACGGAGCTAGAAAGGATTGCCCAGGACAGGGTTGGATGGAGAATGCTGGTGAGCGGCCTATGCTCCTTCACGAGGAGTAACAGGCGTAAGTAAGTAAGTAATATCTGCAGTAATACAACCGTATATTTCATTTAATCTTTTAAAGATAATTTTTGTTCAGTGAACATTAATCAGTTGTGCTGAATTTCTCCAGAAAAATCGACACCGAGAACAGAAAGCATACATTTGCCAATGCCTAGTACTGTGTAACACGTTTTTGTCTTAATGGTTAGAGATTTAATTGTTGTCATGTAATTTATTGGTAAACACTGAATGTTTTGCTTTGGTCTTCTAGTTACAACTCAATGGAAAATTCTACAGTTAGGAAATCGAATATACACAGATGCTTAATAAGACCAGATGGAATATGCCAAATCAAGTAGAACACTTCTTATTTTATCAACACTAACAGATCACTGACTAGTAAACAGTATTTTATTTCCTAGTCCTCACTGATAATCAGGTATTATATCTGCATTTTCGACATAGTCTACTCTATCTACGTTTTCCGAAAGCGTATCACCGAGCATCACAATCAAATATGCCATGATTAAAGACGTATTTGCCACTGTCTATTTGTAAGACTGTCTCTTTGAAAAATTGGCTGCTTGAGACTTGTGTCACGTGTTTCCGACGAGTTCCAACCAATACATAACTTAGGTCGATGATTTTCCGTTGACTAGCTCTGATGAATTAGTATTAAACGTTTAAATATTTCAGAACAAAATTCATGAAGAAAGTATCATCATCCTAAACCTAGTTAAAAATAGATATGAATTGAACCACTGAAATACAGATCATTTGTGAAAAACTTGTCATTACCTCCCACTAGGTAGTCCCTCTAAAATTGTTGTCCATAAATGTCGTAAAGGATTTTTTGTACTAGCTTCAGTAATAACAAGACTACCGTTCGGTAACATTACTGAATCATCAAAAAATGTAACTTTGAAATCTTCATCTAAGGGGAACAATTTTTTCACACTACCTAAAAGATGCAAAAATATAATCAATACTATTATTATTATTATTGTTTTTTGAACTGACCATCTTTTACCGAGACAGAGAATACACCTAAATAGGCATCCGTGACCAAGAAATTCTCCGAATTGTTGAACAATTTTAAACCTAATGGTCTACCACATTCATGTACACCAACTAAATATTTGGTGTATTAGTTAAGCTATAAGCTATAAAGAACAATATTACCGCAGTTTGGTGAACCAAGTGTTGCATGAACATAAATCCCAGAATCATTTATTTTTAATATTTTCCCTTTAATCACTGTGGCATACAATGAACCTATTGGATAGTTTCCCAATTAAGAAAGCTAAACAAAACTACACTACTTACCATCATGATAAATTAAACTTTCAGGACCACTGTAATTCATTAAATCAATCTTTTCTAACTTTCCATAATTTTTATTTGCAATAAGTTGCTCATTCAGCTCAATGGATGGATTAATATGATAAGTATATGAATCGGTTGATTTATTCAGAAAACAGCGTATTATATATCCAATACAAATGACTGTTATTGATCTAAAAACAAGTTTTCTCAGTTCTATCATTAGAACAGTCTTTTTTATGGTTGAGAGCAACAGAATCATTTATTAAGCTTACTATATATACATAAATAGATTACGATGGCTTTAAAAAAACTACAATTATGGTCGATAATAATTGATCAATTTCCGTTGCATTGTTGAACATGAATTTACTGACCGAAAGGTCATTTCACAAACAGATTCTCTAGTGTGCCTTACACAATAGAACATATTATTGTTGGTCTTATGACCAACGTTAAATATATGAACACATGCTAATAAGCGTTTCTTAATTTGATTGGTATTTTGATAATTTTTCAAAGTGGCTATCTATTTTGTTTAGTTTGACACGTTATATGAAACGATGAGTTTAGTGTATGACAATTGTGATCATTTAGATGGAAACTCTGATATGTCAGATGGTTGAAAGTAGTTGACAGGAAACCCTGGATGCAAGTTTCATGCTATTCAGCACTTACCAGCAAGGTGTGCCTGTAAACGTGAGGGGAACGACACTCACTGTGGGATGACAGGTACGCCTTGTTAAAATGTGTTAAACAGTACGAAATTTAGAGTGATGTTTTCCTGTGCACTTCCTCACACCATCTCGATGTAGTGAACACGATGTCGAGTCACTTAGACTATTGGCCATATTGTAACTTGACTTATAGAATTCGATAAGCACTAAATAATCAGACAAACGTTACATTAATCACTACCTTGTGGTCACTCATCTCTTAGTATTAGACTTTTATTCTCGATTTTTTGATGGTTAGAAATAAATATTACTTAGGGATTTATAGTTAAATGTAATTCAAAATTAACAGAATTCACTTAAAATCTTAATGTCTGAGATGTAAAGTCTCTGATGGTCGAATTATATCATATGGTCTTGAGTATCTGGAAGTGACTTGCGTTCACTGTTATGAGTGAATTTCACATGTACTTCAACTTCTAACAATTGATCCCATATTAGAGTAAACAATTATATCTGGCAAATTAGTGGCAATATTGTAGTTTGGGCCAAGGACTACTACAATAAGTTCTTAACAGTTTAGACAATAAAATCATACTATTCCTGAGCAATTGTTTAGCTGAACGATCTGAGTACAGATAGCTGTTCGTTGGCTATTCATGAGACAGTTAATACTTTTGACAATTCATAGAACAAAGATAATTGAAAGGAGAATTCTTTTTCCAATGAATTCATATCATATTCCACCGTTATATGCCGAAAACTATTGATTAAAGTAATAGTTATGTTTCCTGGAAATGTAGCTTCATATTACAGATATTGAATTTATATTTGTGAGTTAGTATAACAAGTTAATGGGGGATTGGCAGGTACTGAAATAGTTTTCGCGTTTAGTTTAACGATGTATCTTTATGATGTTTATAAATATCGGTAGAAGAGTGATAAAATAATGGTTGGGGTGAATTCTGGTATAGTTTTAAAGCTGGTCAGCACAATGGATATTCAAACTCAAATAAAACGAACTTAATCATGATAAATTTCAGTTGTAAAGATATTTGAAAGAGGGAGAAATAAGTAAGTTAACTACTCTAAATCAAATATATATCTACTTTATAATTGAAATGAATAGTCATATATTAGAACCGTGCAAGTTATCTGTATAAGTTACATCTACCTTTTTGTGTTGTAAATGCTATTACATGATCAGTTTGAGGGATTTGGCCATCACACATTTACACTACATTATTTTTACTACAGTAGACAACTGATCATCACACACATGTGTTTTTTTATAAATAACTAGAGTTAAATGTGACTTTATTAAGCCATACTAAGTGATATTGATGTGGGTGATGAGGTGAATTATTAAGACTCCAAGTACTACAAATCACTGTTAGGAAGTTAGACTGACAGTTACAATAGGGATTGGTCAGTCCAAGTAATTCATCTTTAGTTTTCTCCTTCTACTGCTTCACTTCTAATGTTTCTTAGATTACTTAATGTTCTATTGAACATGTGATTTCTCATTAATTTGAATCTGCTTTATTGATTTGAACTAGAAATATTGCCTTCCGATATGATCTAAGAATTACTTTGAGCTTTCATTGCATACAACGCTTTTTAATGTCTACTAACATTAGTTAAGTTATTAATCTAACTTGAAACTGTATACTCTCTATACAAGACTTTATCTACATGAAACATCATTCAGATCACTCAAGTATCGTTGAGATCGAACATTCCCTTCCACTGATGAGTAGGGATGTCATTTCAGTTATGCTTTCTACATATCACCGTTTAATTCATTGATTAAATCTAAAATATTATAATTCAGACCTAGAGGGTTTGTGTCTGAACAAATATGTGCACTCATTCAGACAGTTCACTTGACATTTGTTAATTTGCGTCACTTGTGGCATAGACGAGACATCCGTCTACCAAACAGGGGATGAGTATATGACACAGCAGTTTTATTTTGTGGTTGTCAATTATGACCATTAAGAATAGATTACATTCGTGGGTTACTAGTATTCGATCACTAGTGTCTCCGAAGCATTGCCAGTATACATTGAGCACACTGAGTGGGAAGTTTTGAAGTTCGGTAGAGAGTGCTAGGTAAATATGACGAATCGATTGATGAGGTAGTGAATGTTCATCAACTGACGTAGTTGTGATAAGTATGTGATAAGTATGTTTGATTATCGCCTACCATGAGGAACAATGATATCTGTTGAAAATGTATTTTGGAAGGAGACAAGAGGCTAGCAGAATATTAAATCGTAACAGTACATGGAGACAATCACTGTTAGACAGAGCTATGTAGGGAGAAGTAGACTACATGGTTGAGGACTGGTGATTATCGTAACCAGTGTTTTGAGAAATTGGGTGATATGGTTCTGAATCCTTATTAATGGAGTGGATGTATTCACTACTTATCTAATGTTAGTTCTTAAGTAACATAATCCTATTGTCCTTTTTTCTTATACTCGATCGCTTCTTTTGCTCTCACAGATATCATTACTATGATAAAATGAAAATTATAATTGCTTGAAGTTTCCTACCGTGTCAGGTTATTATTACTTGAAAAGGTAACAGTAGTCAGTTTAAATATAGTGAAATAAATTTGTGGTTTTTTGTGTTTTGCGAATTGTTGTGCTGTTCACTAATCGAACGGAATATCTCTTCTGGAAGTTTCACTGAGATGAATTTGAATCTTCGTGTGTTGGAGTAAAAGCCATAGATAATTCCTATCATGATTTCTATAGATTTACTTTAAATAAATATCCGATAACACTAAACCACATTGATTTCATTAATGTGATATATAGGGAAAAGTAAGTTACCTGTGGACAAATGTTAAATGGTTTATAACTAGTAAAGATGAATAGATGCGTCATTAGATTATGTATGAACAGTAAATATAATATGAAAAGAGAAAATATCCTTAGGTGTACCATTTTTCTTCCACTGAACAGATATATTACGGAGGTATTCATTCATTTGTATTTTTCTAATATATAACAAGTGTATATCACTTAATTTATTATGAAACAGATTTAAACTGTGCTAGGGTTAATTGGTTAGTAACGGATGGGACAATTATAGTGGTGATGCTTCGTTATGTTTTAACCCAAATTTAATGAGTGAGAACTACAGAGTTTCTATATTTGGGGTTATTTCGATTCGAGTATTGTAAACTTCGATGATATTTATGGCCGATATAAAATGTAAAATTATTCTTTGATTTTGTTCCAAACGTTCTACAATTCATTTGTTGAATAAATACACTCTATTAACTGTTTGTAAACTGCCTTATCAGCATCTAGTAGCACTGTATTGTCTGAAAACCGAAATTTGAATATTAATATAAAGACTAAACGAAGCTTTATCTGTCGTATATGTAAAATAAAATCATTTATAGACCACTATATCGAGTTGTACTTATAACAAGTAAATAGAATTTAAAATCAGCGATTTTAATAGGCTGAAACTAAAGGATAGGGAGTAAAAGGAATCCAAAATTTCGGTTTAACATGTTTTATATATAGGAAGTTCCAAGAACGAGTGAGTGGAATGTTCCACGAGAATATAAATGAGTCATAACAATTATATGACTATATATGAAGGACGTCAGAGACATGATTATTATCAGATAACAATGATATTTTTAAATGGTTAACCTCACTACAATGATGCTATGGTATCTGGAAAAATCACTGATATGACTACTTGTCATGAGGGAACAAAAATTGATGGGGCGATATTCAAAGAAGTGGACAAGACAGTCAATGAAGATTTCATTATTTACTACAAACAATTCAATCAGTGATCAATAAGTTTATCAAAATACACTGGATCATATAACTACATATAACGATCAAATACTGAATTACATCTATAGAAAATTCTCATTTCCACAATCTTCGTACAAAGCATATTGTGTTTTGATGAAGCGATTGATTCAATGAAATAGATAGGTTTGTGTAGTAGAAGTTTTGAACTATGCTAAACTGTTGAGAAGATATTTCGTCTTGTATGTTTCCTGTATGCTTCAAAGTTGGACTCATGAAAATATTTGAAAATATAGACGAAAGTAAGATTTTCGACCGATCACATTCTACATAACTTGAACAGTTTAAACTGTATCATTTAATTTTAATGATCAGAAAGTGCTTAATCTTTTTCATATTTGTTCGTGAACTGAAAGACCAATTTCGAACATTAAATGAACCAGTGCAATTATTTTCATTTCTTATCATTTGCAAAACTAATTTCCTTAAATCAACCAAAAGTGGATCACTTTCAATGTGAGGTTATTTTCAAATTTGATTATCAATTTTAATGTACTTTTGGAAGAAAGTTCATAGGAAGGACTGAAAGAGGGTTATCTACAAGCTTTTCTGAAAATACTCCCTAAATTGAAGTATTCACATGTAAAATGATTGGATATTTGATCGATGAACACAATATGGACTTTAAAAGGCGTTTGAAATAATAAATAATGAAGAGAAATCATTTTTACTTCACTTTTCAGAAGCCATCAAGTTTG